AAAAACAATAACACTTAATACACACATATGTGAGTGTGATCGAAAACTGAAAACTGAAAACAGCCTTTTCTTCCTGCAGCCTCTGCAGCTTCTCCTCACAGGAGAACCACTGCTAGAACACAGTGAGTGGCAGCTTTCCATTCAGGTGAGTTTGTTCCAGAGGCTTGTGTTTTTCATGCAGACTCCCTGTCGTGGCTTATTGGGATAATTTAATGAAATCTGCCTCGTCTGTGGTTTTCCTGATCTACAGTCTGCACTGCACCGAAGCAGCATCGCTCTCAAACCTCTGAGCTCCAAGTCGAAGGCAGGCGCTTATCGAATCCACATCCTCATCTATTTTTCAAAATATGCAGTTAGGTTAGTGTCAACAGCGAGTAAACCAGCAACAGGATGTGAAAGCGTTACCTGTGGTTTTAAATACCTCATTTAGAGCACAGGCACTGGGAAATTTAACCTCAGAACAAGCAGAGTTCCACCATGAGGGTCACTCATTACAAATAACGCAGTATATCTAGACTTGGTTTTGTTTTGTCTCACTGTAATCATCACGTAGATTCACCTGAAAAGGTTGAAAGAGCAGGAAGTGAGGAATAAAAGGATTCTGATCATGCTAAAGTATGTTAAGGGGAAAAGATATATTTGCATCGACATATCGGAGGCAACAATGTGGACGCAAGCATGATTTGTGGTCAAACAGCTTTTAGAAGATGTCAGAAAAACGAAGTAAAAGTCACAGCTGTTGCCGTAAAAGTTGAATCAATACAACGCAGTGGAAAAACATGATTTATTCCTGTAATAGAAAACACATTTTTGAAATAGTTTAGTCACCACAATGGACACATGATGTTTAAAAATCCAATTTCACAGATATTCGTACCAATCAGAATGGATTTTTACAGTAGAATGTACAGCATCTGCACTGTGGTACAATAAGGTGTCGTCAGCATAGTGACGTATATTGCAAACAGGGAAACAGGGGAGACAATATATTTGTCACACTGCCATTATCATATAGAGTTAAGGTAGAAAGCTGAAAACAGTGCAGACAGTGATAAAGAAGATGATTCTGGTGATGCTAAAGCTGCTAAAGGTGAAATGAAAGGGGGACATTGTATATTAAGGGACAAAGATGTCAGTACACATTTATTTGCTTGATTTACAATAAGCATCTATCTCAGGTGTAGTAGGGAAACATGATATTTTCCTGTAAAAGAAACACATTCTTTAAAGTAGTTTAGCCACCAGGTTGGACAAATGATGTTTAAAACTCCAAATTCCCAGATATTTGTACTGTTTCATTATTTGTTCTACTAAAAGTCGAGTGACTTGATTGTCAACAGAAATGTTTTAGGCTCTGGTGAAAATCATGTATCTTTTTTTTCTACATTGAGATCTAATTTATGCTATATAAGTGCTATTTATAGCTGAACGAAGCAGATTTGAAGGGTTTTTACAGCAAAATGTGCAATTTCTGCTCTGCAGTACAACATGGTGTCATCAGCACAGAGACGTTTATTACAATCAGAAACAGAGGAGACAATATCGTCCGTGTACAGAGTGAACAAGAACATGACTTTAAGCAGGGAAATATAAGTTTAGAACAAGCAGCATCTGCACTGTGGTACAATGTGGTGTCATCTGCATAGAGATGCATATGAAGAGTTCATTTGCAAAAATGGATTACTCCATTTGTGTATGTTTTCAGAAAACTTTTTTTTGTTTGTTTGCTGAACATAATATCAATCAAACTGAAATTGAGTGGATCTGACTCAGAAAAAATGACAAAACAGAGATAACTGAAATTTGATTGATATTGTGTCAGGTAGACAATGGAAAAGTGGGTTTTCTGAAGGTTTGTGAAGATGGAGTTATCTGTTTTTGCAAATGAACTCTTCATATTACAATCAGAAACAGAGGAGACAATATCGTCTGTGTACAGAGTGAACAAGAACATGACTTTAAGCAGGAAAATATAACTTTAGAACAAGCAGCATCTGCACTGTGGTACCACATGGTGTCGTCTGCAAAGAGATGTTTACTACAGTCGGAAACAGGGGCGACTATATAGTTGTCACGCTGTAATCATCATATATACTTAATGGGAAAAAGCAGGCAATGAGGAAAAGGAAGATTGTAGCAATGCTAAAGCTACTTTAAGGAAACCAAAAGGGAAAAAAATGTACATTAAGGGACAAAAATGTCAAATATATTCAGATAGTTTTTGATTTATAGAAGGAAATAATATGACTGTAAGCTCAGGTGGTGATAAAACAAATTCAAAGAGAAGTCAGAAAACAATGACAAAGTGAATAATCTGCTTTTCTTTGGGACGTGAAATTAACAATGACTGTTATTGGGTGCAGCACGTCTTCGGTGTTATTTTTATTTATTTATTTCATGACCACACATGTTTATTTATTCCATGTTGTGCAGTTTACCTACGAATGTGCTTCACACGCTTCTTTACCATCTCCCTTCCTTCCCTACAGGTTTGCTGTATGTTCTGTACAGGAATGAGCAGATCTTCAACACTGAATCCTCGAGCTGAGCTGTGACAAAAAAAAAAAGAGCTTTTTTTCCTTTTTTTAAATTTGCTCTTATTTTTTTGCACTAGAGCTCCCCTCACTGGCGGCTGAGCAGGATGACACACATCCTGGTTAAAAGCTTTCACAAGAGATTGAATTCAACCCGCAACAGTCGGAATGTGATTCATTAATGATGTAAAGTCTGATTTTTACATGATAGTAAATCTTTAGTGGCCTTAACGTGGTGCCACAATGAAGGAATAATCAAAATAATAACATACATTCTAGTAAATTCGTGCGAATCTGCAGGAACGTGGCAAGCACGTCACAGTTTCTCAGGGTTTTTAAAGACAGAACTGACAGTCGACTGGGAGGAAACTTCCCAAAGCTGAACGGAACAGAAGCTGCTGGTCCGTAGCTTTATGCTACACTGCCCCCCGGTGGTTGACGTCCAACACTGCAGCGCTGCATCGTGCAGCCGCCCCTCTGAAAGTATCTGATCAGAGTAAACAGACTCACTGTGAACACGACGAACCGAGTAAATGATAGAACCTGAGCTGGATGAGTTGTTGGTGTTTAGTTCTTCAGTGTGTTTAACCAGAAAAACGTTTCTGTCTCAAAGTTGACAATAAAGTTTGACTTTGACTTTATGAATCACCAGAGGCCTCCAGCTCTGATTTGCTTTATGAATATTTAACGATCTATAAAAGCTATACAATTTTGAACTTATATATTAATTACTTTCCGAGAGCTTTTATTTATTATTACTATTAATATTTACTTCCTCTTTTTATTGACCCACTTTCAGCAGCGTTTTTTTTCTCACATTAAATTTGATTCTGTTTGAACAACAACATCTGAGGAACTATTAAAGATAAAAACCTGAAACTTTCTCTGTTATTTCTCATCATGTCACTGATTCAGAATCTGAAATATTGCACAGACACTATTTTCTTTTCTTCACATTTTGACTCCCCCATCATCACAGTTTATCTGATCTACTGTCCAATATCACAGATTCTGGATCAGTGACATGATGAGAAACAACAGAGAAAGTTTCAGGTTTTTATCTTTAATAGTTCCTCAGATGTTGTTGATCAAACAGAATCAAACTTTAACGTGTGAAACAACCTCCTGAAGTGGGTCAATGGGTGATTTTTAAAAAATATCATCTCTGAAAGTATTTGATATTTCACATTAAATCAAAAGTTATTCATTTCATACTTGTTTTGGTTTTTTTTAATATATAAATATGTGAGTACAGCGTGTGTAAAAGTGTGAAACGTGCAAAGAAATG